TTTGTTGAAAATATATGGAAAAAATCCATAATAAATTGGTAGCATAATAGCCTATTGGAAATACTTAGATTGTAATGGAACTAAAAAATTTTCAGATTTTTAAAAAATGTTGGAAAATTCCCAAATATTGTCAATACATTGCAATTACTTGGTAAGAATTTTCATCACAATTCATTACATAAAAATATCACAAGTATTGCGTCTGTCATCTGCACTAATTTTTCCCATTGGGTTCAAACATTTTATAAATTTGTTTAAGCAAATCAGCATAAAGAGAGTTCAACGAATTGTCTGGAATCTAATATTATGTTACTAAGGCTGTTAACATGGCAGCTTTTAATTAAAATATCTAAAAATTCAAAAGAAATTAGTTCATGTAATAATCATTAGATGGATAAACGATAAATACATTAAAAGCAAATTTCAGCATTGAAAGCTTGTACTTAAAATTGATAAAAATAAAATTCCTAAATCAATAAATTTGATTACAGCAACTAATATTTCAATTCTTATTATTTCAAAAACGAGTTATTGTATGTCATGACCTTTAACCTCTGATATTTTTGGTATTTTTAAGAGAAGGTTTTTAAAGATGTCAGTTGTTTGAACCGCATTTTTCTGATGGTGTCGCCTGATCTTATATGTACATATATAAATGTACATTTACCCAATTATAATATTCAATCAAATTAATCATAATTTGTACAAATAAATACTTTTCTTCCTTATTTACAGCGAATTTTATTCGAATTACAAATAAGATTTCTTGTAGTTAACGCTTAATAAAATCAAAATGAATTTTAATTGTAAATGAAATTCGAAGAAAAATAATATTACAATACAGCTACATATTACCGCTAAGGAAGACATTTTTATTTTCTACCAATATATATTTACCAAAAACATGAAAATAAATTGAATAATTGAAATTCAACACAATCACTCAGAAAATTTTAATACTGCGTTGTCGTGAATACACATAAAGAAATGTTTTTAATTAATTTCATATTAAGGTAAGTATTATTTCTAGGAATAAAAATCAGCGCAAAAAAAACAACAACATATGAATAATAATCTTGTAGGATTTAATTACACTCACATGCCCATGTACATATCAATATTTACATACAGATATATTTGTTTAAATATTGAAATATACTGCCAATTATAGCATCTGGCGCACAAACCCTCAAACACTTTCCAATTTGGTGTATTTATGTATTTATTAAATTTTTTAATGAAAAATATAAAATACATCCTATATTTATGTACATTAATATTATTCATCCTTTGAACGAAATACATATGCATATGTATGCATATGTAATATTTGTATGCGTTGGCTTTTGTTTCAGATTTCGCTTTAAGCAATCGATAGCGAAAAAGAAATCCTTAAGCCTCTTTATATGTATGTATGTAAATTTTTATTTTAAAAATTATTTAGTACTATTTCGAGCCGAACATTTTCTTTCTTTACTCTGAGTAACCACTATGAATAACCTGTCTGCTACGCAGTCAAGTCAAAATTAATTGTACAGAATCGGGAAGGAGGCCCAGTATACGATCTTTCTAGACTATAGACTAGACTATAGACTAGACTATAGACTAGACTATAGACTAGACTATAGACTAGACTATAGACTAGACTATAGACTAGACTATAGACTAGACTATAGACTAGACTATAGACTAGACTATAGACTAGACTATAGACTAGACTATAGACTAGACTATAGACTATAGACTAGACTATAGACTAGACTATAGACTAGACTATAGACTGACTATAGATAGACTATAGACTAACTATAGACTAGACTATAGACTAGACTATAGACTAGACTATAGACTAGACTATAGACTAGACTATAGACTAGACTATAGACTAGACTATAGACTAGACTAATAGACTAGACCTATAGACTAGACTAGCTATAGACTAGACTATAGACTAGACTAGACTATGACTAGACTATAGACTAGACTAGACTAGCTACGAGACTATAGGACTAGACTATAAGACTAGACTATAGACTAGACTATAGGACTAGACTATAGACTAGACTATAGACTAGACTTAGACTAGATATGACTAGACTATAGACTAGACTATAGACTAGACTATAGACTAGACTATAGACTAGACTATAGACTAGACTATAGACTAGACTATAGACTAGACTATAGACTAGACTAGACTAGACATAGACTAGACTATAGACTAGACTATAGACTAGACTATAGACTAGACTATAGACTAGACTATAGACTAGACTATAGACTAGACTATAGACTAGACTATAGACTAGACTATAGACTAGACTATAGACTAGACTATAGACTAGACTATAGACTAGACTATAGACTAGACTATAGACTAGACTATAGACTAGACTATAGACTAGACTATAGACTAGACTATAGACTAGACTATAGACTAGACTATAGACTAGACTATAGACTAGACTATAGACTAGACTATAGACTAGACTATAGACTAGACTATAGACTAGACTATAGACTAGACTATAGACTAGACTATAGACTAGACTAGACTAGACTAGACTATAGACTAGACTAGACTATAGACTAGACTAGACTATAGACTAGATTATAGGCTAGACTATAGACTAGACTATAGACTAGGCTATAGACTAGACTATAGACTAGACTATAGACTAGACTATAGACTAGATTATAGAATAGACTATAGAATAGACTATAGACTAGACTATAGGCTAGACTATAGACTAGACTATAGACTAGACTATAGACTAGACTATAGTCTAGACTATAGACTAGACTGTAGACTAGACTATAGACTAGACTATAGACTAGACTAGACTAGACTAGACTAGACTAGACTAGACTAGACTAGACTAGACTAGACTAGACTAGACTAGACTAGACTAGACTAGACTAGACTAGACTAGACTAGACTAGACTAGACTAGACTATAGACTAGACTAGACTATAAACTAGACTAGACTATAGACTAGACTATAGACTAGACTATAGACTAGACTATAGACTAGACTATAGACTAGACTATAGACTAGACTATAGACTAGACTATAGACTAGACTATAGACTAGACTATAGACTATAGACTAGACTATAGAATAGACTATAGACTAGACTATAGACTAGACTATAGACTAGACTATAGACTAGACTATAGACTAGACTATAGACTAGACTATAGACTAGACTATAGACTAGACTATAGACTAGACTATAGACTAGACTATAGACTAGACTATAGACTAGACTAGACTAGACTATAGACTAGACTATAGACTAGACTCTAGACTATAGACTAGACTATAGAACTATAGACTAGACTATAGACTAGACTATAGACTAGACTATAGACTAGATATAGACTAGACTATAGACTAGGACTATAGATCTAGACTATAGACTAGACTATAGACTAGACTATAGACTTAGACTATAGACTAGGCTATAGAATAGACTATAGACTAGACTATAGACTAGACTATAGACTAGACTATAGATCTAGCACTATAAGACTAGACTATAGACTAGACTATAGACTAGACTATAGACTAGACTATAGACTAGACTATAGACTAGACTATAGACTAGACTATAGACTAGACTATAGACTAGACTATAGACTAGACTAAGACTAGACTATAGACTAGACTATAGACTAGACTATAGACTAGACTATAGACTAGACTATAGACTAGATATAGACAGACTATAGACTAGGACTATAGACTAGACTATAGACTAGACTATAGACTAGACTATAGACTAGACTAGACTATAGACTAGACTATAGACTAGACTATATGACTAGACTATAGACTAGACTATAGACTAGACTAGCTTCTAGACTAGACTAGACTATAGACTAGACTATAGACTAGACTACTAGACTAGACTATAGACTAGACTATAGTCTAGAATATAGACTAGACAATAGACTAGACTATTGACTAGACTATAGACTAGACTATAGACTATTCTATAGACTACATTACATACTTGACTAGGCTACGGCCTAGACTGGACTATATACCAAAATCTCTTCGAAAAGATAATAACCTCTCTCTCTCTAAGAGAGAGAATCTTCAACTTAAAGACTTGTATAGAAATGTTTTCCTTCCACTATCTTTCAAAAACCTAAACAAACAATCTCAATTTCTTTCTTTTTAGAAAAATAGACAAAAATACAAGAAAACACTCTAATTAAATATTGAGCACTTGTTATACATGACATAGAGCTCTGAACTTATCTGTATTTTATTATTATTTATTTGCGTTTTTCTTTTTTCCTTTCTTTAGTTTCAGATTTCAAAGTATCCACAACCCTCACCATTTACTTTTTTTTTTACCAGTAAGCAAGGTAAAAACGTCGAAAAGATAGACTACAGGTGTTTTTGAGACACAAATACCAATAAACGAAATGTTATTTTTGTATTTACAGGTGTCAGATGTTGGCGTTATTTTTTTTTTTTATTTTATGGATATTTAGCATAAGCTAAGGAAGATGTTTGATTCCATATTAATATCAATGAAAATATTCTTAGAATGTATTTGTGTATTAAAGATAATGAGGGCAAAGTGAAAAGTGTCGGATAAAAGTAAATAATTTCAAATAGTCTATATTTTGGACTTAAGCAAAGTTTTAGATATTTTAATTATATCCTTCGGTTTTGTGAGATGGGTATATATAAGTTTATAAATCAGTTTCTGGATGAATACAATAAAATTTTGCGACCCTATAGAGTATAAATGTGTATGTGTTCTACATCGTTATAGATACCGAAGTCTATAAATCTATGTCCGTCTGTCTGCGTGTCTGTCCGTCTGTGTGTTTGTTGAAATCAATTTTCTGAAGACCCCAGATATCTTCGGGATACAAATCTTAAAAATCTTCGGGATAATGAACTTAAACGTAATGGACCCTTTTTCAAGGATCCATCAAAAAAAATACGAAAGAGATTATTATTTATTTTACTTACTTTTTTGTTCTTGTTGTTGTTGTTTAAAAACAATATTGAATATTTTCACAATACTGCTATGATGGTGTATTTGTTGTTATTTTTAAAAATTCTCTATTATACATTCACATAAATGTGTATGTAAATATTTATGTATATAAACGCACAAACACATACAAATACTGTTGTCTATCAGGTATTTTTATAGAGTATTATATCTCTGGTATATATTTTTTTACATTACTTTGTTGTTGTTGTTGTTGCTGCTCTTGTTTTTGTTTATTCTTTATGATATTGGCAACGCAAATTTATTTATAACAAACTCACATTTACATACATACTAATACTCCAGCCTCCTGTTTGGATGTTGCACTCTAGTTTATAGAAGTATAATACACAGTGAAAGAGAATATTGAATATTGACACGCGCTAGTATGTGTTTGTAGTGTAAGTGTATTTGTTTGTTTTTGACGTATAAATTTAAATACAGCTCAATACACTTTTAATATGTTTGTGTCTATAGATGTATTCTGTCTCTATATAAGTTCACTTGTATGTTTGTCGTTTGGTTCGTTTCACTTCACTTCACCTTTGTGTGTTTATTTTAATTTTTATTCACTTGAAATATTTTTTTTTCACTTTTTTCTCTTTGTTTTCTTTATTACAGTTTTTTTTCTTTTATTTTTCACTTTTTGATGAGTTTCCTTTTCCCTTCAACTTTACTAGCAAAGTATTTGTTGTTATAATTTTTATTGTATTTCTTTTACTTTTAATTCTTCTTTTTTTTTCTCTACTTCTCTAAAATTTTATACGCCAAAGTTTTTATGTTTTATTACCTACTTTTAGGGGAATTTCGTTTTGTTTAAAAATTTTCCTTTGTAAATTTTTATGTTGAAACCAGGTTTTTAATTCTTCCACGGTATGTAGTCTTTTTTTAGTTTAGTTATCTGCAATAAAATTAAAAACAAGTAAGAATGTGAAAAAGTGGTATTTCTTGTTTAAATATTAAATTTTTCTGTACAAAGTACTGGTCACATTTTGGCTTGTTTTAATGGTCAATTTTATTATCTGTAACATTAAGTAAGTAATACATAAAAAAGAAAAGTTTGCTGATTTTTATAAAAAAAATCTCTTTGTAAAGGTCGTAAAATATACAATGTTTAAAAAAAATTTTTAGATTTGTTGTAAACTCCTCCAATAAGTTAAAAAAGTTCAAGTATTCTTAGGGCAAATTTTTAAAACTTATTCCTTTTCAAAATGGTGAAGTTAAATTATATATTTTAATTTTTTTCAATGTTTTCCAACACAAGCCAATAAAATCGTATAAAATATCTGCTATTTTAGTTGAAATTCGTAATATTATACAGTTTTTATTTTCTAATGTAAATTTATAAAGTATGAGTTATATTTATTTCTTATGAAGCACGAAATATTACTCATACGTAAAGATGTTAGTATTACAATGAAATCACATTTTTGATTATAAAATCATAATGAATCAATTCGGTTACTCAACAGATCTAGAACAAAAATATAACAGAACTAGAACAGAACTAGAACTGAACAGAACTAGAACAGAACTAGAACAGAACTAGAACAGAACTAGAACAGAACTAGAACAGAACTAGACAGAACTAGAACAGAACTAGAACAGAACTAGAACAGAACTAGAACAGAACTAGATCAGAACTAGAACAGAACTAGAACAGAACTAGAACAGAACTAGAACAGAACTAGAACAGAACTAGAAAGAACTAGAACAGAACTAGAACAGAACTAGAACAGAACTAGAACAGAACTAGAACAGAACTAGAACAGAACTAGAACAGAAACTAGAACAGAACTAGAACAGAACTAGAACAGAACTAGAACAGAACTAGAACAGAACTAGAACAGAACTAGAACAGAACTAGAACAGAACTAGAACAGAACTAGAACAGAACTAGAACAGAACTAGACAGAACTAGAACAGAACTAGAACAGAACTAGAACAGAACTAGAACAGAACTAGAACAGAACTAGAACAGAACTAGAACAGAACTAGAACAGAACTAGAACAGAACTAGAACAGAACTAGAACAGAACTAGAACAGAACTAGAACAGAACTAGAACAGAACTAGAACAGAACTAGAACAGAACTAGAACAGAACTAGAACAGAACTAGAACAGAACTAGAACAGAACTAGAACAGAACTAGAACAGAACTAGAACAGAACTAGACAGAACTAGAACAGAACTAGAACAGAACTAGAACAGAACTAGAACAGAACTAGAACAGAACTAGAACAGAACTAGAACAGAACTAGAACAGAACTAGAACAGAACTAGAACAGAACTAGAACAGAACTAGAACAGAACTAGAACAGAACTAGAACAGAACTAGAACAGAACTAGAACAGAACTAGAACAGAACTAGAACAGAACTAGAACAGAACTAGAACAGAACTAGAACAGAACTAGAACAGAACTAGAACAGAACTAGAACAGAACTAGAACAGAACTAGAACAGAACTAGAACAGAACTAGAACAGAACTAGAACAGAACTAGAACAGAACTAGAACAGAACTAGAACAGAACTAGAACAGAACTAGAACAGAACTAGAACAGAACTAGAACAGAACTAGAACAGAACTAGAACAGAACTAGAACAGAACTAGAACAGAACTAGAACAGAACTAGAACAGAACTAGAACAGAACTAGAACAGAACTAGAACAGAACTAGAACAGAACTAGAACAGAACTAGAACAGAACTAGAACAGAACTAGAACAGAACTAGAACAGAACTAAACAGAACTAGAACAGAACTAGAACAGAACTAGAACAGAACTAGAACAGAACTAGAACAGAACTAGAACAGAACTAGAACAGAACTAGAACAGAACTAGAACAGAACTAGAACAGAACTAGAACAGAACTAGAACAGAACTAGAACAGAACTAGAACAGAACTAGAACAGAACTAGAACAGAACTAGAACAGAACTAGAACAGAACTAGAACAGAACTAGAACAGAACTAGAACAGAACTAGAACAGAACTAGAACAGAACTAGAACAGAACTAGAACAGAACTAGAACAGAACTAGAACAGAACTAGAACAGAACTAGAACAGAACTAGAACAGAACTAGAACAGAACTAGAACAGAACTAGACAGAACTAGAACAGAACTAGAACAGAACTAGAACAGAACTAGAACAGAACTAGAACAGAACTAGAACAGAACTAGAACAGAACTAGAACAGAACTAGAACAGAACTAGAACAGAACTAGAACAGAACTAGAACAGAACTAGAACAGAACTAGAACAGAACTAGAACAGAACTGAACGAATTAGAACAGAACTAGAACAGAACTAGAACAGAACTAGAACAGAACTAGAACAGAACTAGAACAGAACTAGAACAGAACTAGAACAGAACTAGAACAGAACTAGAACAGAACTAGAACAGAACTAGAACAGAACTAGAACAGAACTAGAACAGAACTAGAACAGAACTAGAACAGAACTAGAACAGAACTAGAGAGAACTAGAACAGAACTAGAACAGAACTAGAACAGAACTAGAACAGAACTAGAACAGAACTAGAACAGAACTAGAACAGAACTAGAACAGAACTAGAACAGAACTAGAACAGAACTAGAACAGAACTAGAACAGAACTAGAACAGAACTAGAACAGAACTAGAACAGAACTAGAACAGAACTAGAACAGAACTAGAACATAACTAGAACAGAACTAGAACAGAACTAGAACAGAACTAGAACAGAACTAGAACAGAACTAGAACAGAACTAGAACAGAACAGAACTAGAACAGAACTAGAACAGAACTAGAACAGAACTAGAACAGAACTAGACAGAACTAGAACAGAACTAGAACAGAACTAGAACAGAACTAGAACAGAACTAGAACAGAACTAGAACAGAACTAGAACAGAACTAGAACAGAACTAGAACGAACTAGAACAGAACTAGAACTAGAACAGAACTAGAACAGAACTAGAACAGAACTAGAACAGAACTAGAACAGAACTAGAACAGAACTAGAACAGAACTAGAACAGAACTAGAACAGAACTAGAACAGAACTAGAACAGAACTAGAACAGAACTAGAACAGAACTAGAACAGAACTAGAACAGAACTAGAACAGAACTAGAACTGAACTAGAACTGAACTAGAACTGAACTAGAACTGAACTAGAACAGAACTAGAACAGAACAGAACTAGAAGAGATTTTGCTGAAACTCTTGCATAACTAGTCCTAACGATATGCCAAATTCAACATATTAGTGCTTTTTAAAGACTTTTTTCTTAAAATTTTCCAGTGAACCAAACACACTTATTTCTATTCTTCCCACTAAAGAACATCACACTTAAGACTTGCATGTTTTTCTTTAAATGCCTTTTGTCTAATTAACCATTTAATTCTACTGAATAGAACATAAACTAATCAGAATACAAAAATTTATTACGCATTTGAAATCTTTTTCCAAAGAATCCCATTGCAATCATTACAAATTCCAAATTATTTCCTTCAATTTAAACACACACAATGTCTACACAATTAATTTCTGAAATTAAAAAAACGAAAATGCAGTTAAATATTTAAGTGCAAAAATAAATAGCAAATAAATATCAAATTCTGAAAATAGAAAACATTGCTGTTAAATAGCAAATTTAAATTCATTCATGAATTCGAAATAATAAATAAAAATAAAACTATTTTCTATACACATCATCTCCTGTTTATTCTTTGGAAAAATAAATGCCAATAACAACAAACACTGTGGCAATGGGAAATTTTGCAAACGTTTATTGAATGAATAAATACTTGTACATATATTCTCTCATACATATGTATGTATGTAGATGAACAAATACATATTTATGTGTATGTGTGAGCACATACATACATAGATACCCATTCATGTACACCAGCTAATACCCATTTATTATAGAAAACTAATTGAATGTGAAACATTTAAATGATGATTTAACAACCACCATTATTTTGACTCGAAACTAAAACGTTTAAACATTTCGTTGCATATGTGCTAGGAGTGGATTGTGTAAAAGGCTTTTGTTTTGGGAATATGTGGATGTTTCCAGTAAAGTAAACAGAATTAAGAAAATAGGGACAAGAAGAGTAAAAGTGATGGGTCCTTCAAATTTATTTCATCCACAATGAGTGGACTGTTACCAAGTTTGAAAGAAAAAGCTTAATGCATGGAATGAGCTTTAGTCTTAGGGACTTATTTCCATAGGAAAAACCTTTTTCTTAAGAAAAGTTTTTATTACAGAAAACCTAGTTTGTTTTTAGTGAGAAACAAATCGATAAAACTTTATTCGTAGAATCACCATTTTTTATAGAAAAGTATATCCACAAAAAAGCTTTTTAGCTGAAAATGTTTTTGTTTCTTAAAAAAGCTTTTTTTGTATATTAAGTTTAATTATGAGAAAAATTGTTCATTTAAAAGAATTTTCCAATATAAAAAGCTTTTTTCATAGAAGAAGCTTCAAAAAGCTTTAGTTTCATAGGAAAAAGCTTTTTTTCATAAAAAATCTTTTCTCCCAAAAAAATCTGTTTTCACTAAAAAAATGTTTTTTCACTAAAAAAGCTTTTTTTATAAAAACTTTTCTTTATTGAAAAAGCTTTTTTCGAAAAAGCTGTTTCACAGAAGTTTTTCATGAGAAAAATTGTTCATTTAAAAGAATTTTCCGATATAAAAAGCTTTTTTCATAGAAGAGAAAAATTGTTCATTTAAAAGAATTTTCCGATATAAAAAGCTTTTTTCATAGAAGAAGCTTCAAAAAGCTTTAGTTTTATAGTTTTTTTATAGGAAAACGATTCTTTCTTAAAAAATTCTTTTCTCACTAAAAAATCTTTTTTCACCAATAAATGTTTTTTCACTAAAAAAGCTTTTTTA